ATGACACACCAATGTCAAGAACACTCCAGGCAGGCGACAGGTCTCCGTTTTTTTAATACCTTTCCTGCCATAAAGAAACCAAGGCTCCTTGAAGAAATGACTGGCTCCAAGGCTGGGACAGTGTAGTGTAAGCACATCACAAGCAGCTTTTTTTTTTTATTGCAGTATAAGCTTTTGATTGCTGAGGCATCCACTTCAAAGACATTCGACTCAAACACATTGTCAGCTACGTGACTATTAAAACCCAGGCCACCCACCCTTGAACTTCCCTTTTTCTTGTTCAGAAAACTCTGCTTGACCTAGATAAGTGATCCTTTCACTGTCGACTTGCTTTTTCCCTTCCTGCACTTTAATTACCCACTCTTATGTTTTAAATTGATCAAGAGTGAACACACAACACCCTAGGCACCCCACCCTCAATCCCAGTAAAGGCAGAACCCCAGGCTCACACTCATGACTCCTCTCTCTCTTTCTGTCTCCCTCTCTCTCCCTTTTGTTCTCTCTCTGTCTACTCTGCCAAACCCAAGACCTTGCTGCGTAGCCCCAGGCAGGACTTGTGAGTAAACACCTTATCTTTTTTCAAAGTTCCCTGATGATCACCCGTGGAGGTGCAGCTGGCAACCTGAAGAACCACAAGGGCTGGTCCAGCTTCAACACTGGCTCCCCAGGGAAAATGTCTGTGAGGAGTGCCCCAAGCATTCCTAGCAACGGCATCCCTACCCAGTGATCAGACCAACACAAAACAGGCAGAGAAAGTACAAGATGGGCCTGAAACATCTTACACCAGGGGTCCTCAAACTTTTTAAACAGGGGGCCAGTTCACTGTCCCTCAGACCATTGGATGGCCGGGCTATAGTTTAAAAAAAAAACTATGAACAAATTCCTATGCACACTGCACATATCTTATTTTGAAGTAAAAAAACAAAACGGGAACAAATACAATATTTGTATTTGCTTGTGGCCCGCGGGCCGTAGTTTGAGGACCCCTGTCTTACACCGTAAGACAAGGAAAAGCTCAAAGAAATCATGAGGATATGTCCAAAGGATAGAGGAGCCAGCCTGAAGGGCTCTCACTAGGCAAATCTGGGATACACTGAGCATCACGATAAATAAATGGCAATGAACAAGAATCCACCAATCCTTACTTTCTGAAAATGGGAGAGAAGGGAAAGTGCTTGCATTCTCAAATGCAAATAAATGTTGAAGGAACAATGGATTTAGAAATAAATGATCAATGGGAGCTCTAGCCGGTTGCTCAGTGGTTAGAGTGTTGGCCCTCGGGCTGAAGGGTCCTGGATTCGATGCTGGTAAAGGGCACATACCTTGGTTGCAGGTTCCTCGGCCCTGGTGGGGGTGCATGCAGGAGGCAACCAATCAATGTGTCTCTCTCACATCAATGTTCTCTCTGTCTCTCCCTCTTCCTTCACTCTCTAAAATAATGGAAAAATATC